CCCCCCCCCCCCTCAGGTGAGATAGCAAGTTAGGGTTTGGTGTCAGACACCGAGTGGGAGGAGCAAGCAGTCAGGTCAGTGGTTTGCACTGACTCTCCTAGGTCACTGGAGACGGGGCTCTGAGCCTTATGCAGTGACCAGGCTGTGGGGTACTCTGGACTCCTTGGGGTACAGAGTCTTACAGAACTTGGAATGTTTTTCCACTGCCATGTGGCTCTGCCTGTGCTGTGAGATCATAAGGTCCCTCTGGAGAGATACTGTATGTGATGGGAGGGAGTGAAGGATTAGTCCCTTAAAAAGGGGCCTTTCTCTGGGCACTGCAGCAGAGTGTAGGAAGCTTTGCATCCTTGTTACTTGAGATTCCAGGACCCTGCCTTGTGCTGCTGCTGCTGCAGTATGAGGCTGGCCCTGGAACTCTTGTCCCTGCACAAGGGGTGGAGCAAGGTTTCTCAAGGGGGGAGATCTGGAGTGGACACTGGCTAATCCAGCAAGGAGCTTGCTGCTCCCACTTCCTTGTTTAGGATCCCTTTGGGATCTCTGTTCCAATCACTCTGAAGTCACTCAAGGGCCATGGCATTGAGTGAACAAGAGTGGCATGGCCCAGTGGAGTATGGGTATGCCAAGCAGGGAAAGAGCTGGCTCTTGAGTAATGTTTCAGGTGGCTGTCAATGATTCTTTGTATAATACTAATTTATACCAAGTGGGAATGCCTTACTCTGTACAACTGTTCCCTGTTGGTAACTGTCTTCTGTGTCTGTAAAGATTGTTCTGTGTAAATACATCTTTATAATAAAGAATTATGATGTCAATAAGCCCTTATTTCTGGAGGTGCAGACAATATTTATTTCCCTCCCTGTGTGGGAAGGGCACATGAATGTGAGAGACCCCTTGCTGGACCTCCCTACCTTGCTTCCCCTTTCCAGACTTACGGCTCCTTACAGACATTAAAAAATACAACAAAAAACCCGGAACTTTTAAACTTGGCACGCTTCTGCACCAAGCATACCACATGCCCAGAAGAGGCAGTGTGGTAGTTGGACCCAGCTCACCCAACATACGTTTAGATCAGACACTTTAGTGGGGCTTGTTTGGCTTTTTTTATCAAACAACTCATTGAATCAGCTATTTGATTAAAAATTCCAAAAAGCACTGCTGAAGTGCCCAATCTATACAAATGCTGCAGAGCTGGGTCCAACTAAGACACTGTTTGCAGTAAAACAAGGGGTTTTTTTGGTTTTTAATGTCTGTAAGCAGACTTTTATGTGCTGGGAAAGCAATAGCTAAACAATGGTAGGTCAGTGCCCTGCCCATTTTGGAGGGGGAATTGTGATCCAATATTAGAGTAAGACCTAGAGAGAGCTGGGCCAGGAAGATACATTCTCTCCCAGAATTTGCTTAGGCTATTGCCAAAGCTGTTAGTAGGTGCAGAAGAAGCATGCAGTCTAGGCCCTCTCTGTATGCAGTGAGTACCAGCTGCAGGTGCTGCACTGTCCTTGCCTGACTTGGTCATGCTGCAGCCCTACAGTACATTGATTGTTTCAACAGGAAGCCCTTTAATTGAATTGGCAGGGTTAGCCTAGAAGCCAATACAGTGCAGCAGATCACGCTCTTTGAACCCAGGCGTGGAACTAGCTCTCTGAAGCCTGATATAATCCGGGGCTCTGGCCTAACTACTGTTTTGTCTTGGTTTCCATCCTGGAGCTGTTTCTAATGGTACAGGAAACCTGAGGGAGAGCTGACACACATGACACAATATGTACAGAGGCACTCAAGTACCTGTGTGTACTAGTCTGGGGAAAAGTAAGAGGAAGGTTTGCAAGGGTTGTTGCCAAAGCTGGGCAAAGTTATGTACAGAACAGGCTATGTAGAAGGGAAAGGCTATGTTCAGAACACTGCATGCCCACCTTTACTGAAAGACACTTCCAGAGGTAGAAGCTCAGAATCTCTGTGTATCTGGGGGAAAAGTGTGCCTCCACTACAGGTTTGTGTGGGTACACATCATACCTAGAAAGCAGCAGGTTTCCTTTTCCCAGACCACAATACCATGCTTATGGGCAGCCCTTCCAATGATTGCCTCTTTAGAGGATTAGTGGAGCCTTGCTGCCCAGAAGCACAGTCTCCAGTACCCCTGCATCTCAGAAAAGAATTGCCTAGCCACCTTGCCTCCAGAAGAGCTCTACCAAGGGAAGTCAGGAGTGCAGTGCAAAATTACATAGAGGGTGAAATAGATGGCCCCAGACCTCGTATAAGGCAGAGGTGTAAGAACAGGCATAGCTACCAACCTTTTTTTACTAGTGGGTGCTTGCAAGCATAAGAGGAAAAAAAACCCCAAAAACCCACCACTGTATTTTTAATTCTGCGCCCATGTTGAACCCCACCCAGGCCCAGAAGAGGCAGCACATTACTTCTACCTGGCTCTGCAGTGTCTGTAAAGATTGGGCACTTTAGTAGGGCTTTTGTCAAATAGCTGATTCAATCGGCTTTAGATGAAAGTGCCAAAAAGCCCAAGTGAGGCACCTGATCTTTACAGATCCTGCAGAGCCAAATTGAAGTCACATTTTGTTTCTTCGGGTAAAGTGCATTTTTTTTAACATCTGCAAGTAGCTCTGGTGGATGTTGAGCACCCACTAATTTTTTTTTGGCTGGCATTCCTGAGCCCCAAAACACCCACAGAGTTGGCACCTATGAGAACACGGAGCTGAGACAGAAAAGGCAAATGGGGACATACCTGGCTTCTTGAAAGGCAATTCTCAGGGCTGCCTGCCTGGCCAGCAAGATGGGAGATGCATGATAGTGGAAGTGGGGGCAGGCACACTGCAAAGGAGTTGGGTCTGAGGAGACTGGCAGGCTTATGGACCTGGGAGTATGGTCAGGCCTATGCAAGTGAGGTAACTACCTTGGCTCAAGTTAAAGGCAGACAGCCCCCAGAAAACACAATGTAACCAACTGATGCAACCTTGTCCCTAGCACAAAAGGATCCAACCTCTCAGAGCCAAGGGGCAGGTGCCTATAGGTATAGAAAAAGAGGGAGGTTTGTGAGTGCAGCTGCCTTCGGCAGAAATGGCTGCCTGACCCCAGCTAAATAGGCTGCATTCAGGTTGGAAAGTACCATGAAGTAGCAGGGGCAAGGCAGTCCCTATTTTAAGGGCCTCTTGCAGAGAAGGCTTCTTCATAGCGTAAGCAGATGCTTATCTATTGTAACTTCTCTCACAAATGTGGCCCTTTCTTCTACAACGTGTGGACTTGTTTTATTGACAGCAGCAGTGGAGCATATGGTGTGAAGTGGGCTCAGGTCTGCTCTGAGAAAGGCAGGGTGGTGGCTGCGATGTTTCCTGCCTGACCTGTGCTGTCCTATAGCTTTCCCATGAGGCTGCTTTAGCCACTGCGGGAACTTCTTGACCTCAGCAGTCAAGTGGTTACATCTTTGGAGAGGTTTTGTCACTGTGGTTTTCTATCAGGGTGCCATTTTATCCAGGCGTTTGCTCACTGTGCCTTCTGTTTGTTACTGCCATCTGCATTTGCTAATGGACCCTGCACTATTCTGCATAAGGCATGTCACAGCCTGGGACTCTCCCTTAACTTAACATTGGGAAAACCAAGGTACTTCATCAGCCTGCCCCACACAAGCTGCCCCTCTTTCCCCCACACATTATCATTGGTGGAGAACCCTTGGAAAATGTTGAGCATTTCCCATACCTTGGCAGTCACCTCTCCTAGTCAGTCAGTCTTGATGTAGAAACTGAACACAGAATTCACTGTTCCAGCATATTGTTTGGAAAGCTGCTTCACTGTGTCTTTTCTGCCTAAGATTTGCAGATGGAAACTAAGATCCTGGTCTACAATGCAGTAGTTATCACAGGGGCGGGCAAAATACAGCCCACGGGCTGGATCCGTCCACCAGGCCATTCTATCCAGCCTGCAGGGGACCTAAAAAGTTTAGAAAATTAATATGCATCTGGTCCTGACTGCCTGTCAAAGATGACAGGAACCAGGGGCAGTAGGACCCTAGGGAAGTCGGCAGGACTCAGGAGAAAGGCTGGTCCAGTCCCAGACCCCAACCTCCTCCCACCCCTGCCCCAGCACCACATGGCCCCAGGCTGCATACCAGGACTGTGGGAGCATGGGGCTGCACCGATACCCTGAGGCCAAGAGCGTGTGTGTATGTAATGTGGGAGGAGGAGAGAGAGAGAGAGTATGTGTGTGTTCATAGGGCGATTTCCACAAGCACAGCCCACCATACACATGCACCCACACTACCATACACACAGCCCCCCACCCCCTCACACACTCCAGCCACCCTCCCCCACACAGAAAAACACACTCAGATGCTCCCTCACCCCACACCCATACCTATCCACAACCTCCCCCCACACACACCCACACCTTCCCCACACTGGCAGCTAAAAATTGTCTAAGGTGCTTGCTGAATGCTCTGTGAAGATTAAACCAGGTGTTTCTTGTTGTTTGTTTATGTATAGAGCTGCATGTTGCTCCTAAGAGTTTAATTAAAGTAAATGATTAGTGAGGTCTTGAAAGTACTGAAGTCTTGTATGTAGTAGCACAGTTAAAATTAACCTTACCAAAAAAATGCAAAAGCTTGTACTCCTATTAGTCAGTCATAAGGAAAGTTTGTAGTGAGTGGCTGTGAGCCCACAGCATAGCTCAAAAGTTATAAATTAGCTAGCACATCCAAAAATTATCAGAAGGAAGATGCAGCATTGTAAGAGAAGCTACTAATTTAGAAATTAGCTGCTAACCTAGATTCAGTAAGCCCAAGGACTGAATACCAGGGTCCTTCCCAGTACCCCTCGGACAGCGCAAATCAAAGATGCCTAACTTCGCTGAGCTTTATAAAAAAACCCAAAAACTCATCGTATATCAAGCAGAGAAAACTGCTGATAAGTTGC